GGTGCGCAAAGGCACCGCTGTCTGATAGGATGGTTCAAGACCAGGCGGCCTGCGATTGACGGAGCAGACTTGTACAAAAGTAAGCTGTTGAGCACGCGTGGCTCCAATGGCAGTTCAAGTGCACAGGGCGAAGTTTGTCGCACCCCAGCAAACAGTGCAGTACACGAAGTACGCTTTGGACACTCCGACTGGGGCATCGCAACTGTGCGGTACGAGCGTAATATGCGAAGTGCATTTTGGCAGGAACATTGCGATGCTGAAACATTGCTATGTTGCAGCAAGGCCCATGGACTTTCACGAAACTGTTGGCCAAACCTTGCCGGACATGTCATACAGCTCTCTATGCTGTGACTAAAGAGGATCAAGACTACAATGTGGGAGCCAAACGGTCTTTGTGCACGGCCGACCAAAGCGCGCTCACGCAACACAAAACGTCCCCCCCGGGCCCCCAACAAACAAAACAAAACTATGTTTTGCGAGGTCACGTTCGCGGGTTCTAATATTTATCTAGTATCTAAGATGACATGTCGCCCCATGTCACCCCCTCTCAATACGAGAACTTTTATGAGCAAGCTAGGAACTCGTGGACAACCAAAGGCGTTCGGAAGCTGGCATGTCCTTGCAGGGAAATTGCCTCAACAAAGCGAAAAGCAGGAGCAATGGAACGTGCAATGATGCAAACCATGATGACAGCTGAGCAAGCCATCAAGCTCGAATGGGACGATTCAGAAGCAAGTGATTGCCGCTTAGTGCCAGGTCATCACCACTAAATTGATCTGCTGCCCATGTCTCAGCATAAACATCGATGCCCTTCACGCCAAGGCTCCACAGGGTTGCGCAATCCATGCATCCGCCTGCGTTCAAATTGCGCGTGCAAAGCCTGGCCTCCCTCATTCCCTCATTCCGTCCCTTCCTCCGTTGGTACATCCAGCGAACGACAAACCCGCGCAAACTAACCTTGCATAGAGGAACTCTAGCAGACATGCTTTGCTTCTGGAGTCAAAACCTGTGGCAACCACAGCCCGACAACTTTTGAATCTCCGAAATTCAGCTCACAAGTGAATGTGGTGAGCCCCTGGCATGTGTTGCGAGCAGATTCTCAAACTCAGCCGAGCGAAAACCATCCGAAACCCGCATACCGTCAGCCCGGGCGCACTGCTCCCGTAGGGCTTGCCTGAACTGCACCGACCGTATGTTGACGCCCTGCAGCTCGAAAAAACTCTTCTCACCTTGGCTGACCCCAGTGCCGCGAGGTGAAAACCGGGATGTTTCTGATCGGGAAAGAGCGGCAACGAGCAATCTAAGCCCTCCGTTGCAGCTGTGTTTGGATTCGCTTGGCAAGTTGATGGTTTCGGCCTGCAACCGGCCCATTTTCTCCAGCCAGCTTTTGCCCTGCTGCTCGCGTGATTTTTGTTCCCTCTCCTTTACTCTCTCTCTCTCTCTCTCACTCTCTCTCTCTCTATCGCTCTCTCTCTCTCTCTCTCTCTCTCTCTCTCACTGTCTCTCTGTCTCGCTCTCTCTCTCTCTCTCTGTTTCTCTCCTTGTCTCTTTCTCTTTCTCTCTCTGTCGGTCTCTCTCTCTTTCTCTCTATCCTTCTCTCTCTCTCTCGCTCTCTCTCTCTCTCTCTCTCTCTCTCTCTCTCTCTCTCTCTCTCTCCTCTCTCTTTCTCTCTCTCGCTCTGTCTCTTTCTCTTTCTCTCTCTCTCTCTCTCTCCCTCTCTCTGTCTCTCCTTCTCTCTCTCTCTCTCTGTCACTCTCTCTCTCTCTATGTGTCTCTCTCTCTCTCTCTCTCTCCTTCTCTTCCATAGCTCGGCACAGACAAAAGTTGCCGAGAAAAAATGCTGAACCCAGCTGATTTCCTGCACTGAATCGAAATCCTGCATACACTCAAAAAGATTGCCAAGCACAAGAAAAAAGCATCCCAGTCCAAACAACATCAGCTTAGCCCCAATCCTGGGCTCCTACCTGACTGCTTCTGGGCGGCATTCTTGCGCCTCCAGGCGTCGGTTGGCCAGCTCATGCACCACGACCTGCCGTGATCTTCGGACGGGGCAGTGGATTTTCGGGCTTAGAGCGTGCTTATGATGGGGTTGGCTTGAGTTCTTTTTGGCCTGGCTTAGGGGCTAGAGTGGGCCCAAGAGTGCCAGCTCAAAACTAGTTATAAAGCCACTGCAAAATCCCCACGGACACAAATCAGCCTCAAGCCAACCCAGCAGCCATGCAATTAACCCACTCAAGCATGAATTCTTTGTGGCACACGCAAGCAACTCTCATTTGCTTGCAAAGTCAGGCAAGAATACGACATGCTCCTCGAGCAATACTTTCTTCAAAGGCTGGTGCTGGCTCGCAATAAATTGTCCAGAAGGAGAATGGATTTTCAGGAAAGCCTCTTCACGACTGAAGTCGTATCACCTTGAAAGGTTGGCATTCTAAGTGCCATCCGGGCACTGAGGTTGCATAACTGATTTAAGTTGGTGGGCGCGGCTCGGCATGCTTTTTTGCCCATCACGTGCGAGGCATGAGGAGGAAGGCGATGCCGGTTGCCCTTGAAAACAGAACGTGGAAGCGTAAAAGATGGTCCCCGCAAGGGGAAGCCCTCTACACAGAATCCATGTTGACCTAGCATGTAATCCCGCCTGCGCCCGGTCCTCCAACAACTCAATACGGGCTTGTCCTTGGCGCCCGGGCAAAATTTGCAAAAAAGGGGGTCTTGGTATCAGCCGGGGGTCGCCGGCTCTGGATGACTCTGGAACAAGTAGGGAGTCATACGCATTGACACGAGCACAAGTTTATCCCCCGCCCACCCCCCAACCTCCCCCCCCCAAGGAAAGAACAGGACTCGGTAAAAACCAAACCCCAGCCAGTCTGGGCCCCTGGCGATCCGCAGCCCTCCGCTGCAAGGACCGGAGCGTCTCCGTGCAGGCAAACAGGTCGGAGCCTGGGTGTCAAACCTTGTGGTTATGAGAATCCCGCTTGCATGAAGCAATACTTGTGATAGCTTCTTCAGCTCCAAGTGTATTGCATCCAAGCTCAGGAGTACATACGAGGACGACAATTCAAGACCTACTACAGGTTAACAGCATTTACAACAAGCCAAAGCCCTGCAAACTTCAGAGCGATGCGGCCAAACAATTGCAGCCACCAAGCGAAGATGAGAGCCTTCATATTCCCGGATGGGTTACAATGTCTTACGCGTCTCAAACCTCAGGATTCCGAAGAAAGCAGTTGGTTTTTGCTGAAAGGATATCTCAAAGAAAACTAAACATGCGTCCTACCCTTGGGGTTTGGTTACCTTTTCGCTCGGAGTGATATTGAATCCATGGACCCCCAGGTGCTTAACGGCTGTTGCTGCTGCAATGGCACAGGTCCCCTTCACAGGGTTCCATATGCGACTCGTATTATACAGCCCATCGTGTGGGAGCAACTGGTTTTGCTTTCTTCCTCTCAGATTTTTTTCAACAGTGACACACAAATTAGAGGCTCTTAGGTTATCCAATCCATCTGAACATCCCCAAGAACATATGAGCATGCGGCTTCCTTGTTGTCTAGTGGGAAAAGGGTGGTCGCACCTGGAGCGGACTTCCCTCTGTGAATGCGTGCCTCCATCAGATTCCAGAAAGTCGGATGCCTGCTGGATGTCGTCATCTCGAGCCTCACGCTTGTCACCAGCTGCCATGCAGAAGCGTGATCCACACCAGGGCAAGATCACACACGCATGCGCACGCACACACATGAGATCTGCAAGTTTGCCTGTCTTGTTTCTTTGTCTTGGCATGACATTTGATTCGAATGACATTCGGAAAAAATGAGCTTTGCCATGTCCAATGTCAGCACCTCAATGACCAGGAGCTGCGTATAGAGGAATATCTTTTACACACCCACACATAATCAAAACCGAATGATAGCGAGCCAAGTAAATTCCATCTCGAATGTGATCAAGTCCAGATGGCTTCCCTCTCTTTAATTAATTCAAGAGGCGCAAAGGAACAACGGCGGTTTGTGGGGGGGGCAGTAGACTTTGCATCGGTGATCAAACCACCCATCATATCTGGGCAAATGTCATTCACGAACCAGAAAGAAGGGAAGCACCAAGCAAGGGACTGTCGTGGGACATGGTTCCTCCAACCTCAGGCAGCCTGTAGCCCTGACTTCCAGCGCGCTCTGCATTGCTACCACTAGAAGGGTGGTACCTCGTGCCGACAGGTTGATACCACTTCGGGAAACGCACGCAGTCCCAATCCCCAAAGCCACGCATTGCTCGATCGCGGTTCTGGGGCCCGCAGCCACCTCGATGGCCAACGCCATGGCAAGGTGACTGAGAGTGCCTCGAGGCTTGTCTGGCTTTGCCCTGGGCGGAAGCTGGTCCTTGTATAGACTCAATTGACTTCTGTGGGCGGTTGTGCTGTAGAAGGCTTGTGGGCTAATTCTGTCTCATTCTCTAATCAACTGGGTTGCTGTCTGCTCGCTAAACGGTGCTCCTGTCACGTGCGGCGAGGCCAGCCAGCTTTTGCAGCAACACCTCACTGATGGCCAAGGCATCAAAGGCAACTGCACGCAAGAAAGAACCTGCAAGTCTTCACTGGGCAAAGGCCGGTCCAAGGTCCAGGCCAGAAATATATATATATATATATACATGCATACTTCTCTACACATATATATATATATATACATATATGTGTGTAGCACTGGGCAAGCGCCCTGCAAGCGTGAATGCATCAAAGATACATAAAACGGGTACAAATGAGTATGTCTACTAGGGGTACCTACCCATGTTCATGCGGATAAGATAGACACTTGGGTTTCTAGCTTGGCATCCTCACAAAAAGCGCCTTTGCACAAAGAACTTCACGTCCCGCGCAAGCCCTTCGCAACCTGGGGGCCCTTGAACTTGATCCGGTGGGGAAGAAATCGCAAGGGAATGACTCGGAAGGCATGTGTGTACTGCAGCTCGGCAACACGGCGCGAATGTGCAGTGAGCCCATCCCTTCCTTCTTTTGTGCGCGGCACACGTGGCCCTGTTCGTCTCTGGGCGCCTTGCGCTTGCAACGCAAACGACCCCAACATGCGGACCAGACCTGTGCTGGTGAAGATTGGGCTAAAAAATTGGCAGTTGAGAAAGGCATCCTGGGCTGCAACACTTGGAGTAGACACCGTCATCTCTCCCTCCTGTGTATTCAACTTCACTTGGATCGCCCAACGCAGCCCTCAATCAATCGCCTGGAGGCTTGGCCACCAGGTTGAACCCAGTCATGGCAGTAGCGGCCACGTCAAAAAGCCAGGAATCAAGAACAAGCTTCTACCCTCCTGATGCGGTTTGGCCGAGAGAATGCCCCAGCACGCAACTTGCGGTTTCTCTGAAATAGCATGAGGCAAAAAGATCGTAACATCAATATTGGAGTCCCGGAGGGAGGACATTGCCTTCGTTTCGAGATTGAGCCCACTGCCGACTGTCGGTCGAAAATTCGCAAATGGCCAGACATGAAGCAGTAACACCGCTGTTCAGCAAAATCTCTTGAAGATTTGGCTAAGAGCCAAATTAGCTGTGGTATCCAAGACTGCGGGTTTGAAGCACCAAATGGCTGCCAGCCTTGCTTCTGTCCGGGTAGCTTCTGTACAAAGCAGGCAGCCCGAGAGTTGGCTTCCAGCTTGCCATGCGCGAGACAGCGGCCCTTCAGAAACGCACAGCAACTCCTCACAAATTGCAAAAGAAAAAGTGTCCCTACAAAGAAAGATTGATTGACATTGCGTTTTGGAGCAACAATCCGAAAACAGATCTTCCAGCAAGCGATTCCTGTCAGAGGCAAGCGGTTGTCAAGCGCTTGCCTAGCCAGTGCCACTCAAAAACAAGATTGTCGCAACCCGCTTCCTGGAAGATCAAAGTAGGACCCAGTTGGCCTGCAAAATTGAATCCCAAAGGCCTTGCAGGACTTTGACAGGACCTTTAGGCCAGCAACCGACACATGCGCATACATGTGTTCATCAGCAACTTCATCATCATCAACAACGACAACGACAACGACAACGACAAGAACAACAACAAGTAATAAGAACAGTGACAAAAACACCAACACCAACACCACGAACACCAACACCAACACCAACACCAACACCAACAACGCTAACACCAACCCCACCACCACCACCAACACCACCAACACCACCACCACCACCACCACCGCCGCCGCCACCGCCACCGCCACCGCCACCGTCACCGCCACCGCCACCGCCACCGCCACCGCCACCGCCACTGCCACCGCCACCCACCACCACCACCACGACCACGACCACAACTAATGTTGGCACTTGATTAATCAACTGGACAATAATATTGGCAAGTTTTCCTTATTCGTTCGCACCCATTGTTTAGGGGGACCAGAATAATTGAAAGTTTTTTGCCAGGGGGCAAAATTCCAAAAAACAACTCCACGAATCAGTTTTAATTTTAAAAGCCAGCCCCCCCTCTCAGAAAATAAACTATCAGTTGCTTTACTCAAAAGCATTCCCCTTTCAATTGGTGGCCCACTTGCTTTAAAGCATCCCCTTCCAATTGGCGGCCCACTTGCTTAAAAGCAGTCCCCTTTCAATTGGTTGCTCAACCACAGAACCCTCTGGAATTTGAAGGACACGAGTACCCCTCACAGACCCCACTGAACCACAATAATGTATTTTTTGAGGGGACCACACTAATTGCAAGCCCCCAGCCCCCCCCTCCCAGAAAATAGACTATCAGTTGCTTTACTCAAACCCTTTCAATTGGTGGCCCACTTGCTTAAAAGCATCCTCTTTCAATTGGTGGCCCACTTGCTTAAAAGCATCCCCTTTCAATTGGTGGCCCACTTGCTTAAAAGCAGTCCCCTTTCAATTGCTTGCCCAACAACAGAACCCAAAGCCAGCTGAAACCTCTGCAATTTGCAAAGCACCCCCAGACCTGAAAATGCAAACTCTTTATTAAACTGCTCAGGAAGAAGTGGTTGCAATACTAGAATAGGATTGCAAAAAGTCTGCTCAGGAAGAAGTGGTTGCAATACTAAAGTAGAATTGCAAGAAGGAAGTGGCTGCAATACTAGAATAGAATTGGGCCCCAAAATCCTCCATTGTTTGGACGTCCCAAAAGTGACCCCCAGTATTTTGGCGCCTCCATTGTTCGGGGGGGGGCGTTCATTAATCAGGTTCCAACATTACATCACCACCACCACCACCACCCCACCACCACCACCACCAGCACCACCACCACCACCAACAACAACAACCACGACAACAGCGTCGGCGACAACGACAGCAACAAGAAACAACAACAAGAAACAACACCAACAACATCACCAACACCACCAACAACAACAACCACCACAACAGCAGCAGCAGCCGCAACAACAACAACAACAACAACAACCAGCACCAGCAACAACAACAGCAACAACCAGGACAACAACAGCGTCGGCGACAACGACAACGATGACGACAACAACGACAACAACAACAACAAACAGCAGCAGCAACAACA